TATAGTACAAACAGAGTCAAGTACGGAACAGCCGTTAAAGAAGTAATGCTCATCGGCTATTCAAACCGTTTGACCTTTGGAAGAAAACGTCTGCATTATGACAGCGAAGGAACACGGACACAAGATAAGTACAAGTATATACGTTTAATTTAATTCAAATAATCGAAAGGAAAAAAAATCCAACCACATTCGGTGTCCTAGTGCCCTTGATTGGACCACTGAGAAAGGGAAGCAGGCAAAGAGCAAGTATGAACTACGTCCATGTTGATCAATCGATAGGATGCAATGAATCGGAACCAGTCTTAATGAACATACACGATGACTTTGTGCGCATGTATAATTCCGAGTTCTCTGAATGCACTGCTGAAGTTCGAGAGTGCCTCTCAGTAGAAGACCAACGTGCCGAGAAGATAATGGACAAAACGGTAGAATTCGTTAATGGACACTACCAAATAGGATTGCCGTGGAAGTACGACCACAGTTATCAGACAACAAGTCAATGGCAGAAACACGACTCATGTTACTAAAGAAACGTCTTTTAAAAGACCCCAAGCTGTTAGCGAAATATACGGAAACCATGGAACATGTACAGTATATATCGCGAGGTCACGCAGAGAAAGTGCAAGCAAGCGATCACAAGGAACAAAGTAATCGAACAAGTCCCCGATGGTACCTACCTCACCATCCCGTGATGCACCAACAAAAGCCCGAAAAGGTCAGAGTTGTCTATGATTGTGCAGCATCTTACAACGGAACAACGTTAAACGAGCAGCTGCTCAAGGTCCGGATAACTCGTTGGTTGGAGTGTTACTACGTTTCCGAAAGGAACGTGTGGCATTCTTATCAACGTCGAGCAGATGTTTCATCAAGTTTATGTACAACCAAGTGACCGGAACGCGTTGCGTTTCTTATGGTGGCCAAATGGAGATTTTCAAGGCGAGCCTGAGGAGGATAACATGAACGTTCACTTGTTTAGGGCGACGTCGTCACCAAGCGTTTGCTGATGTTACGACAGCTGTGTCGCCTCAATCACGACTGGGATGCACGCCTATCAGAAGGATGTCTTAAGAAGTGGACAGAAATCAAGAAAACGGTCGAGAAACTGATGGAAGTACAAATTCCACGCTGTTACAAGTCACCAACCTTGAAAGAGATATGAAGTGTAGAACTACATCACTTTGCCGACACTTCTGCGAACTTCAGAAGGTTATGGCACAGCGTCGTATATCCGCTTGGTCGACATCGAAGACAATGTCCATTGTACCCTGATCATGGGAAAGTCAAGAGTGGCTCCCTTAAAAACAATAACTATGCCAAGATTATAATTGTCAGCGGCGACTCTGGCAGTAAAGGTCGATAAGCAGATACGCCAAGAGCTACAAATGCCAATATACCGTGTTGTATTTTGGACAGACTCTGTTATCGTTATCGGATATATTCGAAATGTATCCAAGCGTTTTCATACATTTGTAGCTAACAGGCTACAAATAATCCACGATGCATCTTCTCCAKAACAATGGCGTCATGTRCCGACGGAATGCAACCCTGCTGATCTCTYTTYAAGAGGCATTAAAGTCAACGACGAAAAGGAGATGTGCAAATGGTTCAATGGTCCAGAGTTWTTACAAAGGGAAGACGATTACTGGCCGTCATCACCAGACAACAAGCAAGAGATAGGAGACGACGATGCTGAAGTAAAGGGAAGCAAAGCACAAATGTACGCTCAAGTCAAAGCAAATGTTGATGTCAAGAATGTTACCACTTCCTTAGATGAGCTTTTGCATCGTTGGTCAAGTTGGTACCGACTATGTAAAATGGTTGCATTGCTCCTACGCTATAAGCGATATCTGATGTGGCACTTCAACAAGACAAAAAATYYCGCAGTATCTTCAGAACCATTAACAGTGAATGAAATGTCAGAAGCAGAAGTTGAGGTGATCAAGCTAGTACAGAGAGAGGSCTTTCCATCAGCGCCAACCAAGATGMGTACTAAACATGGAGCAAAGATCGTACATGATCGTCTTCAGAACCTAAGCCCGATTACAGAGAATGGAGTCTTAAGAGTAGGTGGTCGTTTGACAAACGCTCCGCTAGACGAAACCCACAAGCACCAAGCTATATTACCATCCAGTCATTATGTGACGAGTATGATTATCAGACATAACCACAAGCATAATGGCCATACTGGTTGTAACCAAACGTTGGCGGCGATACGGAAGAMGTTTTGGATAATAAAGGGACCATCTACTGTCAGGCGAGTTTTGAACTCATGTGTACCGTGCCGTCGTCAAAGTCAGCAAACCCCAACACAGATAATGGCACCGTTGCCGAAAGCGCGAGTGACCCCTGGTAGACCGCCATTTACATCAACCGGAGTAGATTACTTCGGTCCATCACATATCAAATACAGACACGGGACTGCTATGCGGTATGGATGTATTTTTACCTGTTTGAGTGTCCGCGCTGTGCACATAGAAGTTTCCTCCGATTTGACRTCRAACTTATTCATCCATGCAGTATGTAYACTTGTTAGCAGACGAGGCGCACCTATTGAACTGTGTAGTGACAACGGMAGCAACTTTCGAGGAGCGGAGTCGGAGATCAAAGAAGCCCTGAAACAATGGAAGCAAGAGAAGATCCGCGAACAATTGAGAGAGAAAGAAATCTAATGGTATTTCAACGCACCATCCGCCAGTCATACTGGAAGCGTTTGGGAACGGATGATCCGTTCAACCAGAAGAATGTTTAGGGCCACAGTCGGAAATCAACTACTTGATGAAGAAACGCTGTCGACGACACTGTGTGAAGTCGAGAAGATCATAAACGATCGCCCGCTAACAGCCGTCTCAAATGACCCTAAGGACATGGAGGTATTGACACCAAACAGCCTTTTGCTTCTTAGACCGAACTCATGTGCTACGCCATGCCCGAACGACGATAACATCGCGGCAAGGGAAAGATGGAAGYTGGCCCAAAGTTTAGCAGATTCGTTTTGGAAGCGCTGGGTAGCCGAATACCTTCCAACGCTGCAGAAAAGACAGAAATGGCTCAAGAAACAGAAGAACGTGTTGAAAGGTGATCTGGTAATGATCAAAGACGACAGCATTCAACGAGGACAATGGCCCCTAGGACGCATAGACATACCCTGATAAACTAGGAGTAGTACGAAGAGTTTTGGTGCGTACCGCCAAAGGAAGCTAC